ATGGTCAGTCAATTCCCCCAAGTCCCCAAATTCAAGTTTGACACATCCCCTTTCACTCCCTCTCTATCTGTCTCTGACACACACACTAGCATACATGCTCAATGCGTACTGTCTCATGTCTCAGTGGACATATTTAAGCCTTTGTGTCCCCATCCGACTCCCTCCCCCCCAAAAAAATCACCAATGCTGAAGTCTTTCCAGCAGCCTGTTTCAGCTAAATCCTCCATTCTCCTCCTTCTCCCCCTTGTTTTTCTCTTCCCTGGGATGGCGTTGCACGGCAGGATCCATTTTGGGCTTTCTTGGCTCGGGAGAGGTTGTTTTGGCCTGGAGTCCCATGCACTGTGCCTCTCAGGGCTTCAGTTTGGTTAAATTAAACAGTTTTCTTTTCTCCTCTAACCCCTTCCCCCCACTCCCTCCAACTGCTCCTCTCTTATTTTGCGGCTTAATGCTCCTCGGCTCCCGGGCGATCTTACCGAGGCTGCTTTTCCAGGCCTTCTCTTACTCAGATAATTTTACCCTTTTAAGGCCCATAGTTTCTCATATTGCGATGAACTGACAAGAGCCAGCACCATGTCTGCACCCCTCTCGGTCCTTTAAGCTGAGGTGGGGTGAAAGTATACAGAGAGAAGTCAAGTGTTTACGGGGGCTATAAATACAGCATTTTAAGATATAGCATATGTATACAGGCAGGGAGCGATATGACGGTTAGAGTGGATAATTTGATTGCCCAAGGGTATTTGACAGTGCCAAATCGATGTGATCAGATCTTAGGGATAGCGAGGCGATGACGGCAAACGGGGCACTCTGAAACCACAGGTTTACAAGGTTGGAATAGATCTGGGGAGCAGGGGAAAGTTTCAACCTCTTCTCTCCCCATGTACCCTTCCCGCTTCTTCTCCTTGTCTCAGTAAGAGAAGTATTACATCCTGATGCTGATTTGGCATTATATTTCATCATTACCAAGATCATTTGGGAAAGTATTGTGTGTATGTGTGTGTGTTTGCTTGACCACTCTTAAAGGGATGTGAGCAGGGGGGGAGTACTGTTAATGGACGCTAAAGTGGAGACGCCTCAGGGCTGACAAGCTCGATTAACGTAACTTTAAAAGGCATATAGAATCAGGGGATGCCCAGCGCTGTGGACATGCGTGTACAAGGTTAGTTAGAGTGCGGCAGTTTAGGTGTCATGTTTATGAACTTCTGAGCCAAGCTGTGGGGAGTAGTGAGCTTCAGGGGTGATAGGGTGGCTGCCCTCCATCTTGGCAGAAGTTTGCTATCAAAACAACCTCTACACCCCATGTGTCACCCCATGAGTCCTCATCACCTGCTACTTTAATTTGCATGACATTATATTTTAGGCACGTGGTGGATGCTTGTGCAGACCTGCATGTTGAGTGCGTAGAATAAACTTCTTTTAGGGTTTTGTTTTTACAGCAATCTAAGCTTTGCAGTTATATTACAAAATATAATTCCCTAATTGGGGATTTAAGCATGTCAAAACAAATGCAAATTTATCACCAAAACTAGTTGTATTCACTCCCTGAAATCCACAGTTACTTTTACATGTTGTCATCACTGATTTTCAAGTGATTTGCTGTAAAATAGCCAATAGTCATTTAAAAGTCACAGATCAGTTTTAAGTGATTTTCACCCAGATTATTTGTCAACATGTGTCCAAAGAGGTGAAAAAAAGGCTGTGATCTCCTAAAAAAAAAAAAAAATTTACTTTGCAATGCAAGTAGTATTTTTGTCATTCAGTTTTCAGACAGATTTTTCTGTTTAAATATTCACAGTTAACTGAAAAATGTTAAACATTCATGGTGAATTTCTTACTTTTAGGGGCTCCCTAATGATTTCAAGGATAATGGCATACAGCTATAAGAACCAAAAAAGCTAAAACAAGAGACAGACAGGGCTTTAGTGTTTTGGGGTAAATAGAGAAGATAGGGGAGGTTCTTCCTTTCACCTCAACTAGTGTCCATGCTTTGAAGAGGGCCCACAAACCCTGGATGTACTACGCTTCTACCAAACACAACAACAAAAACCAACACAAATGCCCAGACAGACAATCCCCATGGGTACATTTACATCGGCAACAACAGCCCCTGTTGCCCCTCTCCACTGCCCTTCTTCCCCCCTCAGGTGCTCTTACAGTTCCCTCTGGAGGAAAGGGGTGGTTTTTTAGGGGGAAGGGCTAGAATGCCCCCCGGCTGTGCCCCCCCCCCCCACCCCCCCCACCCCCAAGCCCTCTGTGGAGCCTCTTTATGTCCCCCCCTCCAGCTCCCCCGTGGGGCAGGTGACAGCCCTCCACAGTGAAGGGCCGAGGGAGCCATGACGGATTCCACAGATGGAGCGTGGAAATCGCCGGCAAAGACCTCAGCTCTGTGGAGCAACAAAGAGCCCGAGAGTCACAGAGAGAAATATGGGTGGAAAAGAGAGAGATGGGGAGAAGCGAGACAAAGAGAGGCTGCGAGAGAGGGCGAGAAGGAGGGAGCACGAGAGCGAGAAGAGGGAGGAGAAGGTGGTGCTTGTTTAAAGAAGGTGGCGTGCCCGAGTGCAAAAAGCGTGTTTGTGGGGAGAGTTTCCTGTTGAAACTGTTGTTTGAAGTGAAAAAATGTTTTCTTCACACATTTTAATACAAGTAGCCATTCCCATCCCCTAGTGTTCCACCTGTCAGCTGCATGATATTCAGTGTGATGCATTTGCTCTCCTAGTATCATTATGTTGCACTGACCCAGCTTCCCCACAGACATCACTATCTTTTCGTCCCATCGACATATCTTGTTGTATCTTAACATCAAGTGATGTTGCAATCCAACGAGCTGAGGCGAAACAAATGAGCCCACTTGAGGCCTCTATAAAGGATATGATTCAGGATTGTATCATGACTAGACTCCCGAGACTTCAGAGGTGCCACTCTGTCGCTTCTTTTGAAAAGTTCCCAAAACCTGGGTAGCAGTCATAACCGATAGGTAATTCCAAAGTGATTAAGGATTTTCCCGGCTGCCTCAGCTTTCCCAGGGCCCAAATCCCTGTGAAATGCTGAGGAACGTGCATGCTGCTAAAGTCGGGAGGGGGGTAGTGAAAAAGCATTCCTAGCGGCCCTCCTCCATGCAGGAACTGGAGAGGGGGAGGCCACAAAAGGCCTCATCTCTTGTTTTTCAGCCATCCTTTCCAAAACTCCAAAGCTCCACACTCCACAACCGAATTCCTTCCCCACCATCTAAACACGAGTCCACTACCACCTCTAGTCATATAAAATGTTGCAGAGTTTGTTGTTTGGTTGCGACATGGCCTGCAAAGTTGTCAAAGCTTTTGTCATCTTGTTGAAGAAATAGTGCATTGCACAGTGAATTGAAGTTTGTAACACAGGGTCCATTTTTATTTTTTCTCTACATCCATTTGAAGAGCTGTGCACCCTCATCACTGTTAAAATGCTCAACTCACACAGAGGTTGCAAAAGAACTGGCTATCTGTGAGTGCAACACTGCAATATATTCAGCAGAAGCTTATGGAAATGTCTCCATTTCTCTCGCTCCCCCTTTGAAAATATTTTACTTATTGCCTCCCTCATGCTTGAATGTTTCTTTACCAATTTGCTCCTAATGCATGTTAAGTTGACTCCCACTGCTATTGGTGTTGCAAGGAGAAAATCGCCGATGGGGGAGAGAGGATCAGTTTCACATGAGGGGCCCTGAGCTATTTGGATTCTCTTGTATTTTATTGTTGCTTCTGAGGGGGAACTAATACAGTGTTGCACACAAAACTTCCCCTATGCTGAGGGGGAATTAATTACGTGTAACACAAAAAGTGGGTGCATTGGCCTTGGTGAACTTCGAAGGGAGCCAATGGAGTGTTTGAAGTACTAAAAACCAAACTGCTGGCTTATAGAACACAGTTCACAATAGTGTTAATACTGATTGGAGACAGAGATGAAATGCAGAAACACAAAAGCTGTCAGGACACGATATCACTCACAGAGCTCAGCTCAGGCAGAAGATCACACTCGATGATGAGTCAAAAATACGAGTTTGTATTTCTCAAATGCAAGGATATTGATTCAACTGTTTCTGAAAGATTAGACACGTAATAAATTAGTCAATCTTATTCTCAAATCTACAATTTTAACAAATGTGTATGCATTGATCAAGCAAAAAGGACAACTGTTCTGTGGTTACAGGTTCTCTGATTTCTCAGTTTGACATAATTGGAAATGTAGTAACTTTGTGCTTTGGACTGTTGGTTGGACAAAACAAGCAATCAGAAGATGTCACCTTGGACAGTATCAATTCAATTCAATAGTTTTAATTAACCTTTTACTGAAAATCTGTGAATAAGACAAAAAGAACACTGATTCATATCTTCTCCTGCTTAGCTTACTTTCCAATAAATAGGCCAGCATTCACTGAATAGTGTGTCCAGGCTACTGTCCACACACACACACACACACACACACACACACACACACACACACACACACAAACTCACACGCACGTTCAAAGAATGGCCCCTGGATCCAAATTAGCCTTTTGTGTAGCTTTTAGACCACCAACCCCCCTGTGGTGCCCTGGGAATCTTGTCCAGTGGGATTATTCCTTAGGCTCAGAATATTCCTTCTGAATGGAGGTCTGTTTGGCCACAAGACCATGTGGAAGACCGATGGCTGATGGTGTTTGTGTGTGTGTGCGTGTGTGTGGGAGCGTGTAAAGAAAAGAAAATACCCACCCTTTAGTATCATAGTGATAACAATAAGTAAACGAGTGAAAACAGAGAGCAAATCACTTAACAGTTCTGCAGCCATTCTGCTGAATAGTAAGGAGACAGAAAATACACTTAAAGCACCATCAGGTGGTGGTGTCAAGGTCAGGTGTTCTTCTTAGGGTCTTATATAGTGACTCTGATGAAGCTGTTCAGCTGAATGTGTGTATGTGGGGTTATAAGGAAGAAACAAACAGTCATCCTGACTGTTTTCTTATTTTTCTTTCTCCTGTGTTTGAACAGCAAGTCACTCAGACGAGGGTTCAGAGGTGGAGTCAGAGCCTGATCTGCCACTTAAGAGGAAGCAGCGGCGTAGTCGGACCACCTTCACGGCAGAGCAGCTGGAGGAGCTGGAGAGGGCCTTCGAGAGGACTCATTACCCTGACATCTACACCAGGGAGGAGCTCGCTCAGAGGGCCAAACTCACCGAGGCCAGGGTTCAGGTATGACAGGGCGCATGCAAAAACACTATATCCTTTGTCAATATCTACAAAATGTCGGGTAAAATAAAACAGCTTGGTAAACACAGGAATTCATATGACAGGTTTTTGGTTTGCACATTTTACCATGAAATCCTTCAACAGAAGTTAAAACAAGAAAATTTTTACAAGATGGCGGCAACACTCTAGTAACATATTCACCTCTGTACGACCTAACACACCAACATGATGACCTGTCCTTACAATGCGAACATCCCTTTTGCATAAATAAACCCTGTGGCACGCACTCCCTGACCATTTAGAGGCAACCTGCTGATCCGTGTTTGCTCTACACAATAACACACACACACACACACACACACACACACACACACACACAGCCCCCCCCCCCACTTCTCATCCTCACTCCCAGGGGCCCAATCTGGACTTTCCTATTTCTGATCTGGAGTCCAGTAAATTCTCCTCCACAGGCTCCATATGGGAAGTGTAAGCTGGCCCAGCGTGAGCCCGCTCCATATGGACACGGCATGTCACTCACACACACGCAGACCTTTTTTTCCCACTTTGTCTCTCACCTTCTGCTTCAGCTTCAGACTCTGATAGACCTGTGGGAGAAGTCATTGTTTAGTGTACAATATATGTTACTGTGTGAGTGAGCGTGTTCACTATTCAAACAAATTGAACGTCATACAGTCTCAGTAGCTGCAGCTTGTTTAATTGTGATGTGTTCCTTTAAATATGTTTACTAATACAATCAATGGATTGTGTAAGATTGTAGTATTGCAGACAGAAAAACTGGTCTAATCCCAGAACACACACACTCATCAAACATCGGCATCACTGCCTTTCTAGGTTTGGTTCAGCAACAGGCGGGCAAGGTGGAGGAAGCAAGCAGGAGCCAATCAACTAATGGCATTTAATCACCTGATCCCAGGGGGTTTCCCACCTTCCGCCATGTCCAGCATCCCCCCCTACCAGCTCTCTGACAGCAGCTACCCCCCTCCATCTATAGCACAAGGTAAGCGATGAGACAGAGTGACTAACAGTTCACATGTTTAGAAATATACAGTGTAGCAAATCATATTTCAGTTCAAAGTGTTATTATTATTATGAGCAAAGGGTTTGCTGTTGATGGAAAAAATAAACCACATATATTTTTATTTAAAGAGGTGGTATTATGTTCATTTTCAGGTTCCAAATGCTATTCAGGGGTTGTACCAGAAAAGGTTTACATGGTTTAATTTTCAAAAAACACCATATTTTTTTGTCATACTACACATGCTGCAGCTCCTCTTTTCACCCTGTGTTGAAGGCTTCGTTTTAGCTATGGAGTGATACATCTTGTCTCTCAATGATCTTTGTTGGGAGTTGCACATGCGCAGTTCCTAGTTAAGGACTACTAGCCAATCAGAAGCAGAGAAGGGCAGGTCAGTGGCAGGTCAGAAGCCAGTAAACACAGCTTCATTTCAGCTGTACATGTTGCTACCAGCTTGGCAATTTAGACTGGAGCAAGAGTTTCAGAGTGGTGAGTTATTAATCTGTAACAAAAGTATCTTTCATCCATAAAGTTTTAACCAAGCTCTGTCTCCACATCACAGTAACAACTTTATGTCCACTGAGTGCCTGGAGGGGAGCTAGTGTTTGGAAGGGAGAGGAGAGGTGTGCTGCAGCTCACTGTTTTTCCACTGGTGTTTTTGAGGGCGTGTCGGACTAGCTGCTTGGCGAGCGTTATGACACGTATTTACTTGTGACGTCACAGGGAAGTAAAGGCTGGACTACAAACGAGCTGTTTTCAGGCAGTTCAGAGCAGTGTTTTCTGTGGGAGATGGGAACTCCCTTTGGGCTGGACTTTGGGCATTTTCACTGTGCAAACCTATTACATGCACAAAAAAGATATATAACTCCATAAAGGAGAGGGAAAAAGACAAAAAGCATAATACCACCTCTTTAAGAAACATCTGTTTTTATATTAATGACATTGCATTTTTCATTTGGTTTGATTCCAAAACCTTTGTGTGTTTGAAATAACTTAAATTACTAACCAAAACACAAAACCATTATTTGTTGAAATGTTAATATTAGAATTGTTTGTTAAATTAAAATCACCCACAACTCTGCATGAGAAAGGCTTTAAAAAACTTTAACCGTTTATACATTTTGAACAGACGTGACTTTTACAGTTCCCAGTATCAGCCACTTAGCAAATTTGAATTGAGAATCCTTAAAAGTGTTTGAACTTTATCTGTGATGCCTTTGGTAGTGTCAGAGCCCCCCAGCACGGTGCATCGGCCCCAGCCTCTCCCGCCCTCCTCGGGCCACCAAGCCTCCGGTGGTGGAGGGCAGGGTGACGGAGGCTCTGCATACTGCCTCGCCTCCGGACGCCACTCCTTCTCAGGCTACTCAGACAGCTTTGTGAGCCCTGGAGGACCCGGTAATCCCATAGGAAACGGACTCTCTCCACAGGTGAGACAGAAGCCTAACATACATCTATTTGAACTGATTTGAGTCAGACGTGGAATTGGGATATAGCTCAATCAATAAAGCAGCCGACTGCACCCCTAAGAGAAAAGTCATTTAGTCTCAAGTTTAAAAGATTATGAATTTTTTCCTAGAAGAAAGTAAAACACATCAATTTGTGAGATGGGATAACTTTTGATTTGATTCCATAAAATAGTTGTAAGAAAACCACAAAGGTAATACTAGTCCAAAGATTTAAGTTTGTGTTTCTTGCAGTGTATTAATATGACAGGAATAAGACTTGCGTGTTTGACACTCCGCATGCCTCTTGAGACCAAGATAGTCTTACCTGCATGGATAATACCCATAACATGCCGCACCAGAGCCAGGCAGAACTGAATTAGATTTGAACGTGATTTCAAAGAGTTGAACCCTGTTGAGATACGCATGATTCACCCTGTCAGACACAACACATCAAGAGCTTTAAAAAGTCAAACACCCTTCTCAAGTAATATTTCTCCCAGGTGTGGAACATATAAATACACACACTTGCTGCTTACTGCGTACTGATTCATCCACTCGTCTACCAACTGTACACTGTACTGGACGATGGGTCACTCACTGTTAGAGCAGAAAAGTAAGATGACTCTAGAAGGACAGAGGACAATTGAGGGTGTGACAAATGAGAAGTGAAGAGACAATTACAGCCAATTATTCAGGCATGAAGTCCCAAGGTCTCTGCATCTAGACAGAGGTTACAACAGAGGAGACGGAGGAGTTAGAGACCCTAACAGGCAGAAAATGAGATTTCAGCCTGGCGCAGTCTGACTCCTCAGAGAACAGGCCGCCGCAGTGTGAAGACACACTCGCACCAATATACACATGCTCAAGGATCCACATCATTGCAGGGGCGCACACGCACACACAGTGTAGATAATTGATCAACTCCATGACATTTTGAGGATCAGTTAAGGATTCTGCAACATCTTTTACACAGATACTACACGACATGGTCGAGCAGCATGGCTAAGTCAACTTTTCAACCTTCTGTTTAGACTGGAAGATTGATTACTGCATTTATTTTTATTATTTTGAATGCAGCAGCGATACAGGGAAACAGGAGCAATTTTATTCACAAATAAGTTCATGCTTCTTTTTCATTTTTGGTTATGTGGTTGTATGTGTGTGGGGTGTGTGCCGTGAGGGGATCCCTTCCTCTGAAAATACTATTGGCCGAGTCTGTCCTCATGCTTTTACTTATACTTTACAGCTAGCATCCTCGCGGTCATATAACACTGCTATACACTCCCCACTATACTATAGCCTTAAGGGAAGCTTCTCGTGATTGCATTCTGAAAATGTTTGCCTCGACATTCCTCCACGTGAAAGCAGAGGTTCTAATTTATTTGTATATATTTCATACAGCGGGGAAGGAATGTCCCATCTCAGATGTTCCCCCCCCCCGATCCTGACATTCTTCCCTGCTAACTCCTGGATGCTCTGATTTAGGCCGCTGGCAACGGCAGCGTTACAATATGAAAAACCCTGGATGGACCAGCTAGCAGCCATCTCATGAGGCAGGGAGAGGCTCGGGAGAGAGGGATTATAGGTGATTAAGGCAAACAGACAAGAGCACAAGCAGGAAAGTCACTAGTTCAAAGCGTGTGCATCCCTGTGGCTTGTTTAAGCCAAAGCGTATCCTTACGCTCTTTCTGTTAAAACCAAAGCCTCCAAACGCAGGTTAATTTTTTAGGAAAACGTTACCGGGATGAAACACAACTCCCCTCTCCAAAACAACATGGACTCCTCCATTCACCTCCCCTACTTGGGAAATGACTTAAGCAGTACCATGTGTGTGTGTAGATGTAGAATAATATGTCACTTAGAGGTTCCAAGAGGACCCAAAGAGAAGCGTACCTGCTTCTTATTAGGACAACTGGAAGAGCCTTGAGGCCTTTGCTCTGTTAAGAAGGAGGTGGGATATCATAAATTTGGAGGTAGCAGGTTCAGTTAGACTTACTTTCATAAGTGATAAAGCCAGTTGCAATGTCTCATTAACGGTTTACTGAGATTTTTGATGATGGACAGGTAAATTCAGTAAGCGTTGAAGGGGGGATTGGTGGTATCGAGTCTGTTTTGAAACCAGTTGAAACACTTTGCCCCTCGGCTCTTTTCCGTTCTTTGTTGGCCAAGGAATATTCCCCCAAATTTGATTATCTGGTCGCTAATAAAGACCAGGTCAAGAGCTAACGGATTTCTCAAACTGCAAATCTATCCTGAGGTCGAACAGAGCCGAGCTCACACAGACCTTTCTTTTGTGTTATCTTTGTCCGCATATCTTTGTCGGAGATAAGTTATCTTGTGCCATGGTTTTTTGGAGCAGTGTCAAAAAGGAATTTTAGAATAAGTGGAGCCGTGGATCTGAGACAAATTGCTTAATTCTTCCTTTCTGGTGCTATCTCTGTCTGGGACGGGCTGGCTGGGAGCCTTTTGATGTCCGCGACAGGGGGATTTCCTGTGTGTGGTTGAGTGTGTGTGTTTGTGTCAGTGTGTGTGTTGATACGAATTACATACACTTCTGTGCTTGTACTCTAAATATTAGGGATATGTAATGTGTTATAAAGCCTTGTCAGAAACAAAAAACAAAACAGAAAAACATATCTTACACATAGGGGCTCCGCCCCTCATGTCTTATTTGTAAAAAAGTATGTTTGTTTTTACCCGCTAACGTTAGGGCCAATTCCAAATCTAAAACTCCAAATTGCAGACTGTTTTTTATAATCTCATTGATGATGTCTACATGAGCAACAAATGATAGGAGACAAATCATTTGTCAACTATAATAACTACCGCAACAACAATACAACAAATCCTGCTAACATTAGAGCCATCCACTCTGACAGAATACAAAATACACTAACTTAACTTTCAACTCTCTCCTTCATTCCTTCTTTCTTTCCTTCCAATCAGGTGATGGGTCTGCTGAACCCGGGCGGTGTGCCACATCAGCCCCAAAGCGACTACGCCATCTCCCCTCTGACGGGCGGCCTCGAGCCCCCTGCTGGCATGGCCGCCAGCTGCAGCCAGCGCATGGATCACATCAAGGGCCTGGAGGGTCTCACCAGCGTTCCCTCCATGTCGGCTCTGCCCTCCCTTCCCAGCTCCCAGTCCTACTGTACCCCCTCCTACAGCTCACCGGGCTACACCGTGGACCACGTGGCGTCCTACCAGTACGGCCAGTACGGACAAAGTAAGGTCAATAGACTTCACCTTTTTATTCTCACATTTTACTTCCACACCCAGGTACACAGTAATCTTTGCTTATATGTTTACATTTACATTTACTCATTTGGCAGATGCTTTTATCCAAAGCGACTTACATTTGAAGAACAACATACAAGCATCAATAGAGCATCAAATACAGATCTACAACTGACAATACATCCTAGTGTTTACTCATTTGTTAAGAAAAAACAATCAAACATGATTTTACAAAGTGTTAACAGTAGTTGTGTGGATCTCACCGACATGCTTGACGTAACTGGTGCACAAAACAGCAACATATCTGTCAGCATTTAAAAAAAACTTGTCTCAGGGCTTAGAGATCACGTGACCGCTGAACAACAAAGCCGCAGGATTGTTTTTAATCTATGACTTTATGTAATTGGAAGACCTTTCCAACTTTCTACTGCAAACCGCTGGCAATCACTTATTTTCAGTGAAAGAATTAAGATGAAAACATGTGACGATACAGTGTATGATTATCAGGCATTCTGGTAGTCCAGTGGTCTAAGACACATAACTTGTAACCGCAAATTCCTTGCTTTGATTCCAGGGATGGAAAAAAAAGCTGACAACACACAGGTCGCTGCAGTACTGCTTGTTAAAGCAAGCAAACATTTTTCCGGGTCCAGTCGTGCAGTCTCAAGTGTTGGGGTTAATTGTGCAGATCTGATTCCATTTGTGAAGCGCTGACACTGAAATCTGCGGTTAGGTAGTCTGTACTGTCAGCGGCCATCAGGGTAAAGTGTAGCCCTAGTTGTGTGCGATAGCCCTCCTCAGAATGTTTGCCCTCAGAGAATACCTACCTGTACAGCAATGAGAGGGTCTTTTCACTTCCTATTACTGTTACTTTAAGGGTTAAAATCAACTTCAAACAAATCTCCATCGAACTTTGGAAGGCAACATCGTTTTCCGTCACAGCGTGATTACAGCGGCCGCCATTTCCAATTTTGGTCCACAGGGGGTTGACCAATCAGGTTCATCCACTGACCTTGTGGCAACCTCGAGACAACCGGGCCCTTCAAAGAGCGTGGCAACGGTCCAGCGAGCCTGACTGCATATAGCTCCGTGGGGCGGCAGGTATCAAATGAATATCTGACTTAATATCCGAGAGCAGCAAATGTCTAATGAAATATCTCGGTCCAATATCTCAAAGCGAACAGAATTAAGAATTAGGGTGACACACGTGAAAAACCTCTAGCATGTGGCACTGTGCATGTACACACACACACACACACACACAAGCTCAAAGGCAGCCACCAGGACAGCACGCGCACCTCCACTGCGTTACAAACCAGAGCAGTCCATCTTGATGTGATTAATCAGTGCGACTGGATAGCCGGTGTGCGGTTGGGTTTGGAGCTGCAGAGGAAAGGTCCTTTCTGGGGGTGGACGGATCCTAATAGCCTCTGGCAGGGCGGCTATTAGAAACAGGTGCTAGGACTGAGGTCAGCTGGGGAAGCAGTGTTGAATGGTGCTGCTCCAGGTTCCAGTGTAAGAGACCGGTCCGTACTGCTGAAAATTTTGACGACATGTAGCTCTCACCGGGCTGCCTCACGGAAACTACAGCGGTAATCCACAAAACACGTATTTGTTTTTATTTAGGTAATGTCTCTGTTGCTAAGCCGGCATTACACTGGTGTTTTTGCGCAGCGCTTTGCAGAGGTCACCTGTCAATCAGTGCGCCCAATACTGTAGAGTCTTTCTCTTTGGAGCCTCTGTTGATGAACTTTCTTTACCTGTTCAGCCATGGTGGCAATCAAAGCTCACACCAAATGCTCAAGTCTTCCAGAAACCAGAGACATAAAACACACCACTTCCTGTGCTTCAGAGCAAAGATCTGCAACCACAGTTGGTGTTAGAGAGAACCATAAGATAGATTTAAAAAAATAAACAATTGTTTATTGTTCTGTTTGAGGTCTTGGAGACCTCTTTAACAGCTCAAAATCCCATTGATACTTCCTAATTGCTTATAACTATGACACTGAAGTGATGACATCAGAAGTCTGCTATGGAAAATGTGCATGCGCATCATTTCTTGAATTTGGGGGTCTTAGCAACTTTGTAATGTAACAATTGAAAAGTATTTTACATTATAAGTATTTTATGTGCTAACTGCAGCGTTTTATACAAAACATTATTAAATGTTCATTGAAATAATATACAAATCACTCAGAACTTCTTTACCATAATTGTAGTGCTAGCAGTGTGGAGGAGGCGTTGAAGCCTCATTTAGACCTTGTCAGGAAAGACAATTTACAGAAACCACAAGTGAACAGTTAACTGAAAAGTATGACACTGAGATTGTTTTGGTATGTGGTCAAACATTTCTTGGGGGGGAGACCCGAATATTGCATATATATATAAATGTTCCATTTATCCCACATCACACCCTGGATTTAAGATTCTCCCAGTTTGAATTTTTACTGTAATTGTAAATGTTTTGCTTCTGAGTGTGAGGTATCTAGTTGTTCTATTTATTTGAGGTATCCTCACACTTCTGTTCTCACATCTCCCTCCATTGACCTTACACCTTAAACCGCTGTTAGCACATGCTATGCTAACAACAGCCATATGTTAGTGGAATGGCACGCTAAAACACATGCCCAAAATTTATTGCAGCCATATATCTCTTTTATCATCTTTGCCCCTTTTAAAAAAAAAATCCCCTCTCACTGGTAATAATTTAACAACTGTTTCATCCTTTCTTTTTTTACAGGCGCCCTTCCTTATCTGAGGCCTGAAATCACCTGATCATGAGCTTCGGACTTCACAGAGGGACATTTGTGTGTACAGCGACGAAAATCTTTTAATATCTGGGCCAAAAGTTTGCTCCAATTTACCAGGACACATTCTCTATTGCGGGATATTATATTATTCATTCTTGGTGGAGAAATGGACAAAAAAAAGAAGGGACCACAAAAAGGAATATCTGACCAAAAACTGTTGGCTGAACATTGCTGCATCAGTATTGTAGATGAACAGCAGATATGTCAGCACTTAACGTGGTTGGCTCAGTGGAGTTCTGACCATCAACGGTGCCATGAAGAGGCACTTTCCACAGGCAAATCCAGTGACACACACACCATTCGTGGACTCTGCCTGGGGAGTCTTTGTGAGGACAGCAAACCCAAATCTATCCTCAGAGACTACCAGCCTTTGAGCCGATGCTTAAAGGAGCATGTTTACATATCTTAGGGCCACATGAGTACGTATGAAATTCCATGTATCTCCAAATTAATCCCCAAATTGTATCTGCTGAAAGGGGGAAAAGAAAAGGGCTTTGTTGATCCTATTGCATTTATTTGAGAACTCTGCATCCCACACATGGAGAGAAATTCCAGAGACAGAGAAAACAAACGTGAGCAAACGAATCTGTGGGTTTTATTGTATCAGAAACTCTAATGTACACCACAGCTGTACTGCAGAGAAAGTTCATTCTAACACCCCCCACCACCACCACCACCACCACCACCACCTCTCTCCCCTCTTTCTGTCTTACTCCTTCTCTCTCATTGATGTTTCGGACGGTGAGGCAGGGATCCCGGCCTTTTGTAGTTTTAGAGAGGAACTCGGTTGAGGTCAGGGGGGTGACTTTAGGGAAAGTGACAGATGAGAGAGGGGGGTGGGGGATAGGCAAGATCGATCACAGGGTTAAAAAACCCTTTAAAGATCCTCTCCCGGCGAGAAAAAGCCACCAGGTCACAAGTCACGACCGAGAGACATTTGAGAAAACGAGAGGTCGAGAGTGTTAAGACTAAAGACAGCCATTCTCTCAGCTGACCAGAAGTGCAATATCACGTATCTTAGAGTCAACCTCATCATTAAAACAAAAAAAATCAAACGTGCCTCTTAAAGTCTTATGAAACACTTTGGATTCATTCTCTGGATCTACTTTGGGACTTTGCAAAGGAACAACACATGTGCCTTTGAAGGCTTTTGGGTCCAAAACAAATGCGAAACATTGTTAATATTGCTGTAATAGGACTCTGAGGGGACCACATTTGTAAGGACTTAAGTCAATGTAGTATCATGAGGACAAGAATGAATCAAGGGAATGCCAATGTAAACAGAAATGACCAGGAATGACAAAGCCAAAACTGTGTTTTATGTTATTTTTTTGTGTGGCTTGGGAGCTTTTTTTGTTTCCACTTTGCATACTGATTACAGACAGACACATTTATTGTCACAAATGTACTGTATGGGAACAGCGTCATAGTAACATTTCCCACAACGTACAAGTGAGTGACAATATTTATCCAAGCAAACACAGTGCCTTCACAAGCACTCTTGTTTTGCACATCTATGTTAGAATGAACCAGTCCTTTCATTCCTTTGATATATTTTTTGTATTATTGGACAAAGCGATATGACATAAGGTCATGTGTACAAGCGCATTATTACTACTATTTATAATAAAATAAAAATTCTGAAAATAGCTGCTGTCGTATTCATTTTTTCTTCAGCTGATGATAATTACTAAATGGAGTCTTTGTATTTATTTTTGCCACAACTTGAGAAAAAGAAAGACAGTGATTATGATTCACACTATAGAAGAAAAGTGCACTCGGAGACAAATATGTACTTTTGAAGGCGCTCATGTGGACCCTCCAACCAAAATAGGCCCAGCCAAATAGGGATCACCAGACATCAGATTTGACACTGAACACAACAGGCTTTCTCACGGATGTCTGTAAATGCTCAGACATCTGCATTGGTGTGTATTAATACCCCCGCTGGCCCCCACTACTGTAACAAACTGACTTTTGTTTAACAACCTCTCCGATGAAGAGAACAAGCCTTAAAGCGTTTTGGACTAACAGCACACCCAGCCCCTCCAAAAACCTCTGCAACCCATCCGCCCTGCTTACGTACACAGGGCTCACTCTGTGTGTGTGTGTGTGTGTTTGCGCACCACATGCATTCATACATTATGTTCATGTTCACATATAGTGTTGTTTCTGTGTGTGTGTGTGAGTGTGTGTGTCCATGCAGCCTGGGGGTATTAAGCCTAATTATAACATTCTTCTGATTAATCGTGTCTGCTCGCAGGCCTCGTGGGGGTGGCGCTGCGTGCAGCTCGTGCAGCGGGACCACACACTCTATAAATAAAGTCTAAGTCAATAGCAACGTTAAGGATCACTCATAGTCTTGTCAGCTCTGTTTGCTAAGCCCGAATAATTCAGCCAATGAGAGGACACTGAGACACACTCGACAACACACACACACACACACACACTCTGGAAAAGTACAAGCAGTGGTGCTCTAATCACCTGTGGTGCTCACGAACACTCCTGCGGATACACACTTTGGCGTATAGATGCATGTAGGTACATTTGGGCACACACACACACACACACACTTACACACACACACACACACACACACTGTTTGCTTTCTTAATCAGTCCGTACCATTAAAGATGAAGACAAATCACACCTGCAAAATTCCAAAGCTAAAACATTACTTTTATTAATGAAGCCTCCCTTGCACTGAAAAGGCCATTATTTCTTTAATACACCCCAGAGTGTAGTTAAATGGAACTTTTTTATACTGCCAGTCAGATAATGACAGATTTTTGGATTGTTAGAGTCTTGCCTCGCAGCAGAACTGCCAATAGGTATTTTGGCTCCACACATGCAGCCATATTCAAATAAATCCAGATTAAATAAGCATTCTTTTTCTCAAATTCACAATGGAAAAAATCCTCCGCCTTCCAAAAACACAAATACAAGCCGCTGGCATTGGTCAGGTGTGCATTATAGCCTTACAAATGCATACAATTATTTCTTCTTTTTTCTCACGTGCATTTTGAGTACACAGAACAATAACATCTTTCACTTGTCTGCTGGCTCAAAGTTCACACCTGTGTGTAGTCCTCTGGAGCTGGGTTTTTGGCTCTGGGCTGCAGTGCAATTATTTTTCAAGGTGTTAATTAATTTTATGTTCTGCATAGTGTGAAGTGATGGTTTTAAAGACTGTCCTGCTGGGACAAATAGGCTCCCGCTGCGCTCGTTTAGACTTCTGAGTGAAATTATTTTAGCAATATAAAATGGAAGAAGTAAAACAGTGCTAATGGAAAACTCCACACACACACACACACACACACACACACACACACACATGCACGCACACACAAACTCTCTCTTTGTCACTCTTAGACAGACACACACATTGAGGGAAACACTCATAGCCTTGTATAACCATGTGATCCAGTAACTCACAACTTAGACAACCCCCTGGGTTAAAGAATTTGTTTTTTTCCTGAGTGTTGTGATCTAACATGACCTCCAGATCACGCTAGCAGCTGCTTCTGTCATTCTCACCATGTTAAATGTGTACATGTGTGTGAAACCTTTCAGATTGTCTATGTCACTACCATGTGTGCTGTGGCTCTTTGGTTGAATGCGCACAGTAAATAATTTGTTATGTAGTCATAGAGACACCCATTGGCACATTGACTCGATGCTTGGTACAGAAGGTTTTCAGTTTGAATCTGATGACCAGCTGGCTGGTGTTTGCATGTTCTCCCCATGTTCTCCACTTGTCTGTGTGGCTTTGCCCCAGATGTTCTGGTTTCATTTTACAGTCCAAAGGCATGCAGCATACAGTGATTAAAATGGAACCTCTAAATTTCATCTAGATGTGTATGTGTCTGTCTGTATGTGAGTCCTGACAGAGGTGGGCAGTATTTCTATTACTTGTATCTGAAATACCTTTTGCTCGATTTTACACAACCCTCCCCTCTTCAGCAGTGGGTGAGAGACTGTTCTCACTTGCAGGAATAATTCCAACCACACAGGAGGCGGTTAACACCATTTGAAAAGTTAGATGTTCTTAAAGGCAACTACGTGGTTGGGTCTTAGTTGCCATTTTTTTGAACTGGACAGAAAACAAGTTTATACATACTGTACAAGACATACTATTTGCAGTATTTTTATTTATTAATATATATATATATTTTTTTTTACAGTTTTGCTTATACATACATATTCTACGTGCTGTTCTCTCCCCAGAGCCTTTGCGTACATTATTAAAATCTGAATGATCATGCCATTTTATGCATGCCTAGTGTTACAAATGTATTTTCCTGTAATTTGAAAATAGCAAATAGAAATATTTTCTGGCCCCAGTATCTTGTATTTTAGTTTGATACATTTGTTTGAGGGGTATTTTGTATTTTGTAACAAGATCCATTTGATGTATCTGAGACGTGAACAAATTGAACAGTTATTAAAATGGATGAAAGGATGTATACACTTTTGCGTTTTATAGTAACAAATGTTTATTTAGAAATGCTAAAATTTAAGATACATGATATTGCAAAAATTTACCAGTTAAAAGGCTGTTTAAACCACTGCCAGTTGGCACAATACTACATTTTGTCTGCAAAATAATTTCTAGACTTTTGAGCAATCTCTGTTCATCACATTGACAACACTTACATAACATTGCAGTCCTAAAATGCAAACTCACTTCAGAAGTGAGATATTTCACTGTTTAGTGATCTTGGTGGTGAAGTAACTCGGTTTTTTTCAGCATCAACCCTTAATATAAATTGCCGGACCACTGTATTTTCCTCCTCAAAGCATCCTATCAGTCCTGTTCATTCTGCACAGGAGGTAACCAGGTGGAAGGAAGTGTTTTTGGGGTGTCTCCTATACCCAGCCTGCCATCCAACCCCTGTACACACACTTAACCCCTGACACTCCCCAGCATTCACACACTCTGTCATCACAGGTCCTGGCTGCTGCTGACCTGAGCACTAACACATGCTGTGGACAACTTAACCTCTGGACCTCCAGACGGAAAAGCACATCGACGGTGGGGTCTCAGGGGGTCTGAGGTTGGGGTAGGAACAGAAAGAGAAGGATGAAGAATCAGTGTGTGTGCATTCATGAGACTGGCAGACAGACAGCAAACAATACACTGTAAATTGATATGTTTCCACATTTTTACTCTAATTTGTTAAATTCATCTTGTAGGTTCAGAACCAACAAGGGGAAAAGAAAAGGCATGGTGGTTATATTATAAACAACTCTGTTTTACTCAGGTGACACCAGCAGAAGTTTGACTTTTAGGTTTTCATCCAACAATAGCAATATGGTTCACCTCAATTTTTCTTTTCCAGACTTTTACTGGAATGATATTATAGTTCCATTGTGGGAATCACTGAAGCTTCTTCGTTATTTATTTAATGTTAACTAAAAAAGGCACAAAGGGAAATATTGTGGCGTTATGTGTGAGAAAAATCACTTAGCAGAATCCTCTTTGAAATACAAACCAGTAGAACTTTAATTGGGGCTAAGAAAGTATTCATCCAGACTCCACTGTCCATCCATATGCTCAACACATACATGCTCAACACAGGTTTATGGTTTAAAATTACATTAGCTGATCATTTGGCCACTTGGCGGCAGCGGAAAGAAGCTGTTAAGGCAAACTTATTAGCAACAAATACGGGAAACTTTAGCATTCATTTGGAGTCCTATTTCTTGCTACCTGGTGAATTAAGTCCAATATGTACTCTCCTTTAGCGTTGTTTTTTGCTTTCTATGATCTGTTTTTTGCTGAAAACAGCTCCCTGATTCTGCTGAAAAGAACACTATGAGAGTGGTAAGAGTGGACCAAAACAGTTTATTTGCAGGCGTAAACCAAAACAATAAGCTAAAAGATGCTAAAACTGTCTGTAGAGCTGAGAGGACCTGCAGAGTTGGGAGATAATTATGTGTGGGTTCAACACTACTATTGTTAAGTCATTGTTAAAGGAATAGTTAAGCATTTTAGAAAATACATGTGGCCAGGCCAGGAATGATGAGGCCAAACACACAATAAATTTGATGAATTTTTATTCCCCAACTGGACTCAAATGACAACAGCATTAATCATGTTAAGTCAAGGATTTAAGGCAGTTGGTGGTTATACAAAACACAGGAATAGCTTTCTTACTTGTCCTTTGCTTATCGCATCTGATCTCAACTATGTGATTTAACCATAGTACCCCTTAACCATACCACAATATGTAAGCAGCTGCCATAAACTAGTTTACACTCGCTCTTGTAGACTTCAGTTACTGCTAACGGGAGCACTAGACGTAAATTCTCGACAACAAAATCAATAAAACAGTCAAAATCTAGATTAGATAACACCACTCTAGACTAGACAACAGTAGTGGCCTTTAAATAGAGAAAAATAAAAAACAAATATTAACAAATACATTCACTTAGCCACGCAATGCTAAACTCAAGGTGAAATATTTGAATTTACCATAAAATATAAAATACACCCATTCACAGAATACAATTTGCCCAACACATACAGAAACTCAGAAATAACAGTTTGGTCTTGGTCCTTGGTCTGCTAGCTAGTTCACTTTTCCGTCTGCCGATCTCAAGGATTATTAATTTACTTTATGGAGATATCCTCCATATC